GGCGGGACCCGTCCTGATGCGCCACGCGCAGCGCGATGAATATCCTCATTCCAGGAAAGGCTTTTAAAAGAACACATGGCACGGCAATCGCGCTGAGCTGTGTCAATGGCACAGATTAAAAGTGTAAGGAATATAATACTTAAATGAAAGTTGTTTTTTTTTTTTTTTTTTTTAAATGAAAACATTGATTCTCAAGAGTAGAAGGCACCATGGACCAGGACAACTAAAGGGTGCACACAGCAGACCTGTTGGCAGCACCATTTAAAAACAGACAAAATCACACAGTTAGGGGCAGAAAATAATTTTAATGTTGACAGAATATGATTGATGATTTACAGAGATACACTCGTGTTGTGGAGAGCAGAGGATGGAGTTTTGCCCAACAATTATCTATGATCTGTGTGTAAAAGTCTCCCAGCCAGAATGATGAATTCAATAACAAAGGCCTGATTCACTGACACTGATAACCAAATTGTAATTTCTAACACTCAGCGGTTAAAACTAGCAGCTGTGCTAATACTCGGCAGCTCTCTATGGCTAGAAATAGCATCTCTTTAGGAAGAATTTAGGCAGGTATCCAGTTTGTATACATTAGCATGTTTACATTTCAACTGATACACTACCAAAGAACAAATTAATTAGGTGCTCCATTTTATTGCTGCAAACATCCTGCTCCTCTCTGCTTTCTCCCTGACTGTCAGAAGTGCCCAGATTACACCCAGTGGGTTTTCAGAAATGCACTCAAAGCCCCATAAAAGTCTGAGGGCTTGGGCCACATCTGCAAAAATACCCAGGGTGCCATGTTCGCACCCAGCTCTGCTGAATTTCAATTACGGATCAAGTGCCGTAATAGAAGGAATGTGCCTAAAAATACCCCTGCGGATCTGGGCCTGGCTACCTAGCTCCCTGCAGACTCTTTGGAAAGGGATATGCTCTCCATAATGTTCAGATCGTGGAGCAGCCAGGCTCTTGGGAAGGCTCCTTGGAGGAGGAAGCGTATCCACGCCACGTGTGTCGGAAGCTCGCTGGGGTTGGGATGAGGCTCCAAGCTCGCCAGGAGCCCCAGCTGGCCCGTTACATTGCTGTTTTGCTCATGTTCAATTCAGTTTTGCTGGTGTGTGTGCAGGGGAAGTAACTGATTTTTATTTTCTTTCCAAAGGGATTATTTTAACTATTTTTGACAGTACACTTTACATTTTTTTTTTAATAAATCACTCTTTCTGTATAGAAAAAAAATCCCTCTAGGGTTATTCAATGAATGGACATTATAAGGTGCTTTGAAAGTAGTTGAGAAAGTTGTGCAGGCAGCAAAGCCTTACTAATTTTAACTTCCAATTTTTTTGGATGAGAAAACCAGAGCCTTCTTAAGGCAAAACATATATATATATATATGTGTATATATACATATATATATACAGGAAAACCTGTTTCTATGGTTTTCAGACACTAGTTTCTGCCCCCCCCCCTTCCCCCAAACCGGACTTTAAAAATAATATAAATATGACTCATTCCGGAACAGAATCTTGTAGCTGGATTACAGTAATAGCTCTGTCAAGACTGCAATAGTATTAATTGTTGATGCTAGAGAGTTTAAAAACCTGGAGGAATTAGCAGTTCTGTGTCACGGTATCTCTTGCCTACAGGCAGTCTGTATTGGAAAAAAGGAATCCTTTCACTCTGACTGGAAATTTCTGCCTAGTCATGGAATAGGGACCATATCTCACTATCATTTATTATGTTAAGTCTACTTAAAAGCTAGCCAGAGTACCAAAAGGAAAGAATATTTCTGATCTTATATTTCACAAAAATGAACAATTTACTCAACCTATGGCAATTTTTAAGCTCACAGGTACTGGCAATATAATCCTCCAGCATAACAACATTTTAATTCCTGGGAAAACTCAAGGACTTTAGAGAGATAATAGCAACGAGACTCCCTAATCAGTTCGTCACAGAAGTCAACAGCAATACACTTGAGATGAGCTTGACCTGGACAGCCCAGCAGACATGAACAAGAGTTTTGCTATCATTAAAAAAGCCCCAACACAAAACTCTACCAAAAAAAAAAAATCAAAAACATCCTTCTACACTCACAGTATCATATTTGAAATCTCCTGCAGAATATTTTAATCACACGCTGTACAGGTAAATATCACTTTCAAATTCAATAACAGACAATCCTGGTGATATGAGCACGTTTTCAAAGGCACTGAAATCCCTGCAAATTCTGTATCCCACTGTGTATTGTACTGTTACCAATATATCAGTGAGACATTGACACATTCAAGTTTTACAGCAGTCGAAGCAACATGGAAAATATCCATCACAAAAAGCCCTGATTTTGCTCTGATCAGTGATACAAGGTAACCCAAGGGGGAAAGGCAAATATCCATTTAATCAAATATGCACTGTTGGTATTATGCGCACATCCTTAGAAACCATGAAGTGCTTTATTTAGCATGAAAATGCATGATTTAAAGTTGGAACATCAACGGAAACAATTAAAAGTGCAAATATATTCAATATATTGTATTCTAAATGTAAGAGAGCAAAGTATATATAAAAAATAAAAACATCTTAAAAATAAAGATATGCAATATCTATTATCTGCTTTTAGTTAGCTTTATTAGTTATCTATACACACTTATTGCAATCTGTGAAAGATTTTTTGCTACGTAAGTGTATGCATTTTCCCTTCCTTGTACATTTCCTGCATATAGATTCTGAAATAACATTGAAAACATGAAAAAGACAGACCTTTCCTGGAAGCTTACGTTCACATTTTCAGGAAACACAAACTTAAAATGAAAAAATAAAATTAAAAAAAAAAGACTATAAAGGGTTAAAAACTGAAGTGTGCCAAATTTTAGACATAGAAATTTGACTGGGTGAAGGACATTTAAATAGAAGAAGGCACAAAGGCTGAAGAAACACATCTTTTGCAGCAAGTGAAACAGGCTGCACACAAGCCCCGTAGCCCCTCTAAGAATGAAGATCTGTTTTATTTCACTTACCAGCATTATCCATTTCCCCCCTCGGTTTTCAGGAGCAGAGTTCCCCAGAAAAGCAGCCTGTGCAGCCTCCGTCGCTCTAACGAAGCCGCTGCCCTTCTCCTGATTAGTAGCCCTTGCTGGCAGTCAGAGCAGGCTTCATGCGCTGACTGCAGTAGACATCACCAGGAAATTTATATCTCCAAGGATGACAAACAGCCATTAGCTCCATTATAGGCTGATTAAGATTGTGTGAGCCTATCAAGTAGATACTTAAATCCCCCAGGGTTTTACCTCTTCAGGGAGAAAACAAAAGAACTCTGAGCCTGTAATACTGAACACACATTGCTGAAAAGTAAAATAAAACACCGATGAGGACATGTTTAAAGAATAGGAAGAAAAAAAATCTCTGAAAAGAAAAGGGGGGATGTGTAACAAAGCAAAGGGGTCTGGTGTGTCAATGACGCAGAAGCAAAGTTTTAAGGAGAAAAATGAAACGGAATCTATGCCTGAGAAAATGCTAGGTTAGATTAAAATTTGCAGCCATTAGCCTTAACAGTGCTTTAAATCCTACAAGTTCACTACCTAATGTTCCCTATGGTTTACAGGAAACACAGTAGACTTGCTCATCTGCAAATGTATGTCAACATATTAATTGTCTCGAGACATTCATTATTATACCATTCATAGCTAAATGTAAGGAAACGATGAACAGTAACGAAAGGGATTTAAAAACACACTGGATGGTGACAGGAATAAACTCCACAAAATCTAACTGACAAATGCTGAGATGAACAAAATTTCTTCTAAAACTTTCAATTCCACCCAAGTCTCTGGTGCACATTACTTTCATAGAAACAAACAAAACAAAATAAAAGGAAATGCTAAATACTTCCCTTCTCTACTCTGGCAGAGTTCTCTCCTTATATATGGTAAGACAGAATAGAAAAATCTCTCTTCTAGCAGCAGCGGGTAAACAGAAGCAGTTCATGGGGGAGCTGGGACATTTGGGTTCCAGCCCTACTCTGTCACTGATTTCTTTGTAACCCTGAACAAAGTACTGACGCTACATAACTGCCACACAACATTTTCCTGCTATTTTCTCCAGGCTATAAATAATTTACTCAGCTACTCCAGTCCTCTTTACTGCAGTAGAAAAGAAATACAGATTTTTGAGTCTGTATTTTATCGACTTAAGTCCCCCCCCCAGCCCCAAAGCATCATATGAGCAACAAAAAGCATTTCTCATTCGTCATCCCTTCACTGCCCCTTTTATCTTATTTGTCCTTTTTAAATGTTAGCTAAAAAGACAATTGCAGAACTGCTCTATCTACACAGATTAGGAGGCGGGAGAATCAATGGCTGAGAGCTAAAGTCATCAGAAAGAATGGAGAGTATTTAGGGCATACTGAATATATTCTGTATTACAGAAAGGAAACGTTGGAGGGCTAAGGAGAGACTAAAGATTAGAAATCTGTCACACTTCATATTAAGCTTCTATTTATAAATGGCTTAAAAAGACTTTATAAAAAAATAGGAGCTATCACAAGCATGTTGCATTAGTATGTGCTATAGATAGCTTCAACCACACCAGTACCGGGGGTTAAATATGACCAGTAAGCAGCTTATTCACTTGCTGGATGCTGCATCAGTTAATGACAATTGATTAATGTGACAATTTAGGTAACTGGTTTATGCGTATCTTATGAAATCTTGTTGCATAGGAGCTCTGAACTGGAGGCATTAGGATAGCCGGCACCTGAACGATGACACCAGTTTCCTCTAAATCCTCTGCCAGAGGTGGCTGCTGCAGAGGGGTCAATTCCCAAGAACAAGAGAGAAAGTGGAGGCTCTGCGGGTCTTCAGAACCCCAGAGGTTACATTTCTTGATTAAAATGTGCCTCTGTGCCAGAATGCTGTTGTTTAATTGTGGAGAAGCTGGCCAAGGGAGAAGCAACTGGCTTGCTTAGGAGGAGATTCCCTGCTTTCGAGAAGGGGCTCCCCACAGCTGCAAACTTACTGACTCACTCCCAGGATCACGGGGTGCCGAGATCCAGGCAGTGCAGAAAGGCAGGTAAGCATCTAACATCCCAACGAGTCTGCGGAGGGTTTGTGCTGCTGAAGGCTGGAGAGACTTAGTTATGGGTCCAGTCTGTACTTCGAGTCCGCTGCACCTGGAAAAGGTGAGCTTTTGGCAGGGCAATGATGCTCGTACACTATGGAAAACCAGTCGCAGCCCTTGCAGCTTGGGATACAAGCGGGCAAAAGCCTGTGTCAGAGATCCCAAGGAAAGACGCAAAGTGGTAGCTGCTTAGGCCTCAAATAAATGCAGAGCTCCAGGCCGTGACCACGTCTGTGTGAGCGGCCGAGCCCAGCGGGCGCAGCAGGTCTGAAGACCAGCTGCAGGGGGGCTTTGCTGCGCCCCTCGCACTGCTGGTCACCAGGCCAGACAGCACGGCTCCCCTGTGCCCAGAGTCAAGGGTTTCCTGCCGGAGAAGTGCTGGACGAGGAGCCTGTGCAGGCAGGCCTCACCCTGACACGCGATCCCCACCGCGCCACAGCCTCAGTCAGGTGGGACCGAGACGGTCAGGTGCTAACTAGAGCGTGGGAAGTCCCAGCCACCACGGCCTGATAAGCATCGGTTTGGATGCTCTAGCGAGGCTGTGTGACAATAACCATTCATTAACTCTTGAAAGCTAACTATAAATGGAAACTTAATATCATACGCGACCTAAATCTCTTCTGTTTTAACAGAAGATATCTCACCAGGAACTTCCCCAAAAAAGAAAACTTTACAAAATAGATGACTCAATTTTTCTTGTAAGTCATTAGATTATTACAAAGGACTTAAAATATATGTATGGTCAGATGTAGTTTTTACCAGATCAGAGCAGTATCTTCCTGCCTTTGCACAGGCAGAAGAAAGATATAGATGCTAGGTGGGACTGAACAGCAGCCTGCAATTGTTCTTTCTAAGTTAAGTAAACACATATCCCAGACATAAACCCATTTTATGAGTACAGAACAACCCCATAACAATTCACAGTTGCATGATGTCAAAATACCTCAATCCACTTCAGAGCACTTTGGGGTAAAGAGATGATCAGGTCTGCGCAAGTCCTGAGGTCTCTGGCCTCCTTCCAAAAATCTCATGCTACTAATCTGTATCTCCTTTTTTTTCTGCCTGTGAGGTGGTTCAGGATCATAGTGCGTTTCACTCATAGGTGCTTGAGACCTGGCTTCAAATTCTTACTCAGCTCCAGTCATCCTAAATGATTCTGGGCAAGTTCCTCCAAACCCTGGCCCTACACACGGAATTTTCCTTTCACGCTCACTCCCTACACCTAAGTTGTGAGAGGACCAGCGCGCTGCAGGCCCAGCGGTACCGCCTGGGGAGCTGCTGGCCTGGCCAGCTCGGGTAATGAGGGCCACCTCTGACAAAAGGAAGCGTTATGAGGTACACTAGAAGCACAGCTAATGACACCAAGCCATAACGAACCTGTTCTTCAGTGTACCCGATATATGCAGCCTGCTGCAGTAAGGACATTTCACTCCCAGGAAAATCGATGGGGAGTTAGAGAGACAGCAGTCTGCCTAGGTAGGAGGCACATGGGCTGCTCAGAAAGTTCATGGGGGAATCAGGGTAAACAAATATCTCAGGACCCAGCCATCAAAACCACTTTCAGTTGAAAAACCCACAGAATCAAAGCACAGCTTTAGCAGTGGTGTTTCCAGTCATGACAAATAAGCCAAAGAATACATTTAGAAAATGTAAAGTTTGGCTTGACTTGGTGCAAATCTGTCACTGTAAAGGATCTGATTCCGTAAGATGCTGTTTCGGGTAAAACATTTTGGTTCACTTTCACTGTGTCTGTTTCTACCCACACAGAAACCATCATGCAGGTGTCTCTGGGAAAAGCTGTGGTTGTTTTTAGATGCTGTGGGTTTTTACAGTCAACTCCAACACTCTAAATATATAGCTTCACGAAGAAGTATGCACCAAATGCCAGGGCAGCAATCATTCAAACTACAGGGATTTGTAGCCCTCCAAAAGACATTTCATTCTGTAAAGTCCCCTCTTTGCCAACAGCAGGGTGATTCCACAGGTAAGAGAAGGAAGGACATTTTGCAGGCACAGGAACAATAAGTTACAGACAAATCCCAGTTTTTTAGTCCACAGCATGAAGAATGCCACTTACTGCAAAAGGATGCTTTATAAAGCACACCAAAGTCCTTGCACAGTAACAGATCTATACAGTTATTAAACTCACATTATTGAGGTCTTATAGGTATATGAAACCCACTTCTGCTCTGGTACATTATTGAAAAATGCTAGGCAAACTGGGAAGGCTGTCTAGGCTTCAGACATATGGTATACATTTCACTGGGTCAGGGCTCTGTTTTCATGGCAGACCTGAATCTCTAAGAGGAGCCTTCCTTAAGCCTCGGAAAGAGTCCCCAGCATCGCGGGCAGCAGTGCGGGAGAGAGCAGGTTTTGCCGAAAGCCTTTCCCTTATCTCCCGGGGCAGAGGAGCTTCACAGCAGGAGACTAACAAGAATGCTCTCTGCCTGGGAAAAAAGCTACAGTTCAACCTGAAAATGTTATTAGGCTACTGCCACAAGTGCCTGGGATGCTTGTGTGGCTAAGCAAACAACAGGAGCCCTTCGTTCCCTCGGAAGATCTTCACACTGAGCGGCAGGGCCAGCTAGAGAGCTTCTGATTCTTGTCACAAGCTGCAAGCACCACTGAAATCAACAGATTTAAACTGATAGAAAACAAGAAGTGAACAGGATCCAGATAGCAACGTGTGGACTTTGTAGGTGGGAAGTTTCACAGCACAGATGGGTTTGCAGAGGGAGCAGGAAGGGGCTTGGCGTATGCCTGAAGATAGTGAGGAGAGAGGGGAAAGGCTGCATGAAAAGAGACACAGAGGCAGTGGGAAGGGAAGAGAGGCTTGCAGAGAGGTCAGCAAAGACTGATCCTGAAGAAGGGTGCTCGGCAAGAGATAAAAGCAACAGAAAGAAAATATCTCTTTACTTGTTGGGTTATTTAAGCGAATTTAACTTAATTCTGAATCACTACTTATAATAAACTTGTATCAAGAAAGAAGTGTAGTGGTGCATATTCACTTGTGTTTGTCCAGTGATAACAGCTATTTCTAATGTACAAGTCACTCAAACTTCTGCAGGAGCAAGTACCTGCTTATCTCTGCTTTCCCACTGGTACTCCTATGGCATCGGGCAGCTTTGCATGCCTAGCTGTTAAATTCTGTGCA